GAGCCCCGCCGTGCACACAGGCTGCGGGCCGAGCGGTCTCGCCGCCACCAGCACCTTTCTCCCGGTGGTTTTTCCTAAATGCTGACGGCCCGTCAGGATGCGATAGGTACCGGGCGCCTTTAAGCCAAAGGGTCGCTGCAGTTCAGCTTCTTTTTACCAGGCACATCTTAAAAAAGTGGCAATTTAGGTAATGGTTCTGTGTTAGGTAATGGCGCTGGTACCCTCAGGAGGTGTGCTGAAACGATGCCTTATCCAAAGGGGTCCCCCAAAACTATGGCCACCAGGAACTTCGGCAAAATATTAGTAAGCGTTTTACCAGCCTGGGCTAACTTCTTAGCTGCTTCTTTATTTGGTGGTAAGAGTACGTCCAAACCGACAGCTGTTAAGCGGTCTACTAATACAAATATGATGAGGACGTAGCATTTCTGAAGCGTGCCTCCGCTAGCTTTAAATTTCTGTTTTAATTCCAGGTTGAGGAGTGAGGTGTTGGCCCTTCTGATGAAGGTGCCTTTTAATGTAGGCAGTGGTCGGTGCCGGAGCAAGCAGCCGAGTTAACGTTGCCAAATGGCATTTCTCACCCTTCCAGGACATCACGTTTGGTGTAACGCCTGCCTCCCGGCCAGATGTAAGGTATACATCCGTTCGACTCTCAGGGTGCCCTTTGAGAGTAGCTATAACGAGTACCTGCTGTCGTATTGCCTTTGCACCCTGTCAGTAGCAGCTGCCTCGGCCGAACAGGTTAAGGGCTGAACTTCAGAAAGCCTGCAGCTGTCAGGGAGTGGAATTGCAGCACTAATGGCACCGTGAGTTTCTCTTATCTGCAGCCTGTGTCCGTGGCATGTCTCACTGCTGATAATCCCCACAGCAGTGTAATTCTTGTCCCTTGCCCCTCCTGCGACGGGTGCAATAAAATGTCGAGGGAGGCTTGTTGGATCCTTGGAGCTGTACGTCTTCCTCCTTGGTCATATATCGTAACGTGGGATCAGGCAAAAAAGGCTCACTTCAGGGAGAGCCTCACCTTTGGCACATCAATTTTATCGTAGTTGGATCACAATAACATGGGTGATACACCATCTGTATTATGGGTGCAGCTCAAATGGATTAGATAAAGCAAGCTCCACTACCTCTAGTGAGCAAGACCAAGATTTTCCTGCAGAGGTACCACCACGGTTGATGATCTCATCTTAGAAACTGAGTTTTATGTTTGAAGACCAAAGCTGCTGTGGCACTCACAGTGCTCTCGTTTTTGTAACTGAATCCTCTCCTTTTATTTCTTTGCAGATGATGTATGTAGGAGTGCAGGCAGTCGAGATGCTAAAGATACAGGGTCATGTATAATTCTGCAGTGCTGCTCCCCGCGGTGTCTTTGTTGTGAAGCTAGTGGCCCGATGTTTGGATATATGTAGTTGCTAATAGCACTGGTAAGGAATATCACAGACAATCTGTATGCCAGAATCTGTGAGAACTTGAAGCATGTGTGAGGAGACCAGTGTGTCTTCTAACTTCTCTGTTGCCTTTTCCGCCTTTTCTTACAGTAGTCGCCCTTCCTGCTATTTTCTGTTCTGCCCTTTTCTACCCCATTGAACCTTCAGCATTTTAAAAGCCTAAAGCTCTAAAACCAGTATGCCTTTTCGTCGGGATACCTCTACTGCTATGCATACAACATGGCAAACCAACCTTCAAGGTAGTACCCGGCTGGTGTTAGTGTCTGGGCTGTTTACTGACTCAAGCTCAGAACCTTCCTTGTTCTGCCTAGCTTCCTCTTGCATGTCACTGCTGTCCGCTGCGCTCGACTTCCCTTCTTTCCCCACATACAAGCACACAGAGGACTTGAAGGTATCCAAAGTATTTTTTCAACTGTTTTATTTTTTTGGTTACAGCGTGCCTTAAAATTTCTTTGCCATAGCGTTCCCTCCCTCCTGAATAGCCTTTCCTTTGCTCCCCGTGACTGTTGCCGCTTTGCAAAGAAAGGGCTCTAGCAGTCTCCCTGTATGCACACAGACCCTCGGCTTCTGGGTGTTACGGTTGACCTTTTGTTGAACGCTGTGTTTGGTAGCTCTTCCCCTGGAACCGAGTAAATCATGTAGTAAGTAAGGTTGGTAACCTTGGGTTGTGGCTTAATTCCGTAGGCAGGTGGAGAGAGACAGGAGCTGATGGGATACAGCGCCTGATGGAGCCCCCTGCATCTGGCTGTGGTTTGGTGCAGGCACCCACAAAGCGCTGGAGGTCCCCAAGCCATTAGTGGGATTCTGTAGCTAAAGGAGCCTTTCGGTGTGACTTGCTCGGTCATGCAAATCACAAAACTTCTCGCTCTGGCCGCTGTTTTCCCGATGCAAAGGTTAGGGTGGCACCTACATACTGGTCAGTCCTTACTAGATAGCCACAGAGGACAGAGGATCTTTTCTAAAGTAAATGGCGTGTTTGTGCAGAACAGTTTTTGTCTGTAGTTTCAGTGAAGTACGTGGATTGGATGTGATTTATTTTCTTTCTTTGTTTAGAAGAGCGTGTACATCGGTATCGGTTATTTTTGCAGTAGATTTGCGTTTCAGAATGCTAGCGAGCTTTGCATGCAGAGCCATAGAGAAATGTTTGTCAGATATTTCAGAATTTTAATTTTGGTATAGTTCTGCTGCTTATGTTATGCTTATGTCTGAAATGTTAAACTGCTTATTCATATATTAAAACAATATTACTCCCTCTCTGTGCTGAAGAACCCCAGGAACGCTAGAACAAACCCATGACCAACGCCCATATGTTAGTATGATCTGCAGGTGATGGTATCTCTGGTTGTTGTTGTGGATCAGGGGGAAGGTTATGGAGTTTTCACCTTCGTGGTGAACGTTGAACCATGAGTCTTTGGTTTCCAGGCCTGCCTCAGTCACAGAGTAGGTGCTCTAGTCGGTCGATAAATTCAGAGGATGAGGGAACTTTAGGCAACGTCAGGTTATTTTAAACTCTTCAAGTAATATGTATCAATCTGATAGTGTACAGGTTCTACTTCCAGGAATATTTGCCTGGTTTTTCTACCTTGCAGATTGCCTGCTTGTCTTATCATCAAAGCCAACATGCAGATTTTGAGGAGTATGTGTTACAAAACCTTTTTTAATGTTTGATTGTTAGCAATTCATGTTCAAAGCATGTGCCGTGCACTTTTCTAAGTGGCTTCCAGCACATGTAAAAGGGTCCGGGGGGGGGGGGGGGGGGGGGGAGAAGGACAAAAAAAGCCACTTTCCATCATCTATCAGTGTCTTGAAGATGCTGTGGTAGTCAGTGCATTGTTGTGTGGCAATATTTTTCTAGTTCTGGAAAGTATACAAAATCCAATTTTCAGCAAGCAACGTGACTTGAGAGCTGCTTTACGCAAATTTTTAAACCCGCTCTTTGTTCATCGGCACAGCCAGCTAACGAAACAACTTTTCTAAGTCTGGTGGTTGTTTGAAAGTAAATATCTTAGGCTCTTAAGATTTTGTTTAGTTTCCAAGACTGCACAACGGAGTCCATTGAGAGATAATGCTTTCTAAAAGGTGAAAACACAATTGCTGTTACAGCTGCAAACTCTTTTTGGGACACAAAGCTCCTGGCTTGTTTTATGGTGTTTCCTCAAGCGGTAAGCTGAAGATGGAGCCTATTTTGGATACAGTTGACATTTTTCCTTCCCTTCTAAACAAAATAAATTACTACCTGAAAAGCTATGAATAAATCCTAGGAGAAAATTTCTTTTCCCGAAGTGGGTTTTTCTTTTTCCCTTGCAACTGATGATCTTGAAATTTGGAGTGCATTTCACAGGGATGCAGTTACTTTTCTCCATTCCTGCCCATATCCATCTCTTGAGCGCTCTCAGATACTCAGTTGCATTTCTTACACAGCTACTCAGCAATATTGCTGGCTGGAGAGTCATTAGGGCTCTTTCAGGAGGATGTTTTGGGGTTTTTTGGTGCAGGCATGGTGAAGGTGGCTGCCTGGCTGAGGTGACATTCTGTGTTGTAATTACGGGTGATACAAATAGCGCCTGATTAGCATGGAGTGCTACAGGGGTGCTACTTCTAGTAATACAGAAATGCTCTTTCTATGCCACTAGTATAGAATACATTCACAGGACATTCATTTCTATTTTAGCTAGTGAGAAATGCATTAAACTTGGTACTAACTCCTTCAACTTCGTGGCATTGTTGGAAAAGCAACTTACAGTTATTTAAGAAGGGAGTGTCTATGTAGTCTTCCATAGTTGAATGAATGTTTTTTTTGGGTGGAACTTTTAATGTCAAATCCCAGTACTGTGTTGGCCTTGAGCGCTATTAGACCCAGGAAATCATCTGATGGCTAGAAAAAGAGGAATGCAAGCAAACCTCTGCTGAGTGTTTTGTGCAGGAGCTGACAATTTCAACTCTACTGTGCACGTACTGAAAGCAGTACAAGTTTGTAAATAGGCCGTCCCTGATGGTATATTTGCTATTTCTGGAAGAGAAAAGAAAGAGAAAAAAAGCTGTATCTCTTAAAACTAAGCCCTGAAGGAAATGCTTCTCTTCTAGGTATACTGCAGCATCCAGACGGGACCGTCCTTAAGCAGTTGCAGCCACCACCTCGCGGTCCCAGGGAGCTGGAGTTCTACAACAAGGTGAGGGTCCTGCAGCGTGGAGGGAGCTGGCTCGCTGCGGCTGAAATGGTGGGTGTGCTTCCTGTAGAAGCACGTCCTTATTGTTGCTGTTGGGAAAGCACAACCTAAATATCTGAACGGTAGGTCACCGACAGCCCTGTCATGGTGTCTGTGTGCTGTCTAGAACTTTCTCCTCTTTGAATGTCTGTCCCCATGCCAGACCTACTTCACTCACGGGATTTAAGCTTGCTTGTTTGCTCATGGGACAGCGGGGTTTTCACAGCATCTAAGAGTTTATTGAAAAGCCTTGTATTCTCTCCACCTATGATTAAAGGGTGGTGTGTTTGATCCCATCTTTCTCATGTTGCTAAGTGTCTCAGAATTGGTTGCATCTAAATTTAGGATGTCTTACACTTCGGTCTAGCCTGATTTATTGCTAGAAGTATTGCTCTGTTCACTGTATTAAAACTGTTCACTGTATTAAAACTCAGCTCCTTTAAAAAGTCAGTAAAAAGTGAAACGCTCCAGTTGTTTTAACTTTAGTTTGTTGTATTTTTCCTATTGCTCATCTTCAGTTTGCTTTATCAGTAACTTTAATAACACAAACCAGGAAAGCTGTCGCTTGTTGTCTTACGAGGGTAAACTGTTTTTAGAGCCTCTTTCC